ACTATAGTTGCTGTATTTGATTTATGCCAAAGTAAGAGAGCCTTTGGACTTTTTCCCATAATGTTTGAAAGAAACTATTGAAATTCAAAAAAAGATATCAAAAGGTAGCCTCCCTTGCTGTTAATGTTGTACCATGTATATCAGTATATGTTCATAAACCAGGCCCTGTACACCTTTGCACCCTTCTCTTTAGCACATTCAGCCATCCAACTCACAGACTGGCTCTCATGGTCGAACATAGTCAACAGGGTCTTGTTCGAATGGAAAGGATAAGATTCAGCCAGCAATTTAAATGCAAATCCTCGACTAACAGTAAAAACAAGTACATACTCATTCTCAGGAATGTTCCAGTAATCCATAATTTTGCTTTTAATAACATGCTCCACAGTACCTTCCTCTGCACCCCCATGAAGTGCATGATTGCTCAAATTTGTAGAAATTTCCTTTAAACTAAATGCAGATGAATCCCAATACTGTAGCGTTTGAAAATAAGAAAACAACCAGTAACCTCAGTAATCAAGGCATACCTTTGCACCTGGATCACATAGGTGACTGTACTCATCATATCTCAATTGGTCAATTCTCTCTGAACATTGGAACTTTGGGTATAAAGTCAAGAACTTATTGAAGGCTTCATTAAAGTCAGGAATGAATTCTTGAGAGTTGATGGCTTTACCTTACGTCACTCCTCCTCCTCCACCCAAGAACCTTTTCCTCTCCAGCTCTTCTTATCCATCATCAAGGTTGTACGAGAATGATATAGGCTTCGATAGTGAAAGATGCATTAACACGAATCTTTCTTGGTTTCTCTAAAACCAATCTGATGACTTTCCACAACGCAGAACAAATTCAAGAAATGAAAATATTTTTCTTTTTTTTTCAATATCAGTAATTTATTCTTTGGCTGAAATATTCAAGAACAAGAATAGAATAATCTATATGAGTTTAGACTTGGTTTAAAAGAGGAGAAAGGGCAGCAACAGATCATCAAATTGTCTGTTTGAATGGTGAAGATGATGAAGAAAGGACAGAGGTTATTTGGGTTTTAGGGTTTTTTTCCTTGATAAATTGTGATTTTAGTTAAAGAGTTTTTATTTTACTTGATTTTGGTTAAAGAGATTAAGTTTTCTATCTGGTTAATCGATTAATCAATTTAACATGGTCCGAGTTGGGTTGTTTGAGGGTTTGATTTATCAATGGACACTTGGCAAGATTATAAGAAGTGGGACAGGATGTGAGACAGGGTGTGGTACAGAAAATCCGTTGCGACCAATTTGTGTTCCATGAGCAAGCTTTTAGTCCTATTTTTCAGGCTCTGCGTTCCTTTGTTTATCACTTTAGAGAAAATTAGTTACTGCGTTTCTTCCTTTTTGCTTCTCCGTGTTGAATTGGTCAGTATCTTCCTCATAAATTCGGCCATTGAGTTGTTAAAAGTTTACGAATGTGATTCGAAGACAAACACAAATAGCGACCAGGCCAAATATGATGATCAGGTACACACTAGATACTTTGTTGCAGTTGTACCGTCGTCTCATTTTTCATTCACGTGGGTTTCTCAATCAAATTTTAATACGGAACTCAACTAGCCGACAAAAAAAGGACTGGAAGAAGCACAAAATAGGCTTTCGACTTGGTGAAAAATGTGAATTGAATTGTCCATAAATTGAACCTCTTACTTTATGCTCAGATTACATCTGATGATTTATCATGTAAACAATTTCCTTCACCTTGATGTGACCGTATATTCTAGAAAAATATATCGATTTAATTTTTTTTTTTTTAAAAAGACCTTGATTTGCTGCACCGGGAGCATTGGTTGCTGTTTTGTGACACATGTAAAATTAGCAAATGTCTTTTTACACAAATTTGATGTGCCTATCCCAGCCTTTGTGTAATGACGAGATAATTCTGGACGGACGAGGTGATTTCTGGACGGACAGACTCACCTGCCAAAATACACTAAGAGGACCGGGGTCTTGTCCCTCAATCTCATTTCGATGCTAACGTCAATTATAGTTCAGGAGTTAAAAGTACAAGTGATTGGATAGTTTGTGATGTGTGTGTAACTTGTAGACGGTGAAGAATATTTATAAAGGAGAATTTAATGGACAGGATGTGACACCTATGCATGACTATGGTCAGATGACAGGCCATGGCGGTGAGCTCAAATATAACTCTGACCATTACAACGGTAGCGGTCACATTAACATATCAATCACTAGTCACCTCATCCGCCGAGACGTCAAGTGTAGAGCTGCAAACGATTCGAGCCGCTCGAGTCAAAGCTCAAGTCGAGTTCGCTCAAATTCAAGCTCAAGTCGAGCTCGAGTGGCTCGTTTATAAATCAAGTCGAACTCGAGTCATCCTCAATTAGGCTCGTTAGTTCATCGAGCCGCTCGACGAGCTTTGTGAAATTATAAAAATACCCTTATTTATATAGTTAATTACTAAGTTATAACATGGGAATTGGGATGGAATTCGACTTCGAGTATCAGACAGAGGCTCGCTCATAGCAAAAATTACTTTCCCCAATTCCATTTCTTATTACTTCTCCTCTACCGCATCTCTGTTTGGTCTTTCCTTCACACCTTCTCAAGCCCTAGCCATCGCCGCCGCCACCCACGAGTGCACCACGCTGACCACAGCCACCAACGCGGCACCGCCACTGCTACCCTTCAGGCCTCATTCGACTGCAATTCGACTTCATTCGAGAGAAACCTTCTTCCTCTCGAAGCAATTCAACTACAACTCGCCTTCGTCATTGGCTCAGCTGTATTCGGACAGAGGCTTGACTTCCTCCACGGTGCGTCTTAAGGACTGCTAACCATCCCTCTTCCTCCACGGCGCATCTTAAAGCCCTCAATTTGATTTCCAATTTAAGGTTGGTTCGGGCCGTTCGGCGTTCCTTCCCCTCCTTCTTCCTTTCTCTTGTCTGAAGTTTGTTGCTTCCCTCTAGTTAATTTAACTAGTATTTTAGCTGGAATAGATGCTGAAATAACATTTTTAAGCTCAAATTATTGTTTTTTTTCTTTTTTTTGCATACCTGCGTGTGTTGTCTACCTATGCTTTTAGGATTTTTTGGTGACAAGGATACAAAATTTTTTTTTATAATTTTTTTATCTACTGATTTTCTTATCTTTTGATATATAGTTTTGGAAAATAACATGTAAAAACTATGAGTTTGTTTGGATAGAGAGTATTTGGTTTGCAAAATTTATTCTCACAAATCCCAATCACCTTTTTATCTTCCCAATCATCTTTTTATCTCACATACATCACATCATAAAAAGTGCTACAGTAACTGGATCAAATAAATCATCCAAATAAATTCTTATCCAAACAAACTCTATCTTTTCCTACTTAAATTGATTTGCTACTATGTCTTGCTATGGCAAAGATTTGAGCCCAGTTGGGGTAGTGGTGGTGAACTGGTGATCATGGGAGTGATGAAAAAATCAAACGGATTCCCATTTATCATTCTCCGTAAGAATGATAAAAAACCACCAGCTACTTCTGACCCCACAACACCAGCATCACTTGTTGCTCATCTCCTACCCAGCCAATCTACATAATTAATGATTTTTATGCATGTTAAGCAGCATTTTTTTAACTTTCTCGTTTTGAAATCCGTATTAGCGCTGAACAGATGACATGATGCATCTGAGTGGAATGTTCCGGCAATTTTTCAAAAATTGAAAGAGAAGGGCCTGTGATGTGAGAAATAGATATTTGCTACTCTTGATGGGTAATTTATCTACCCACCTGATGATTTTCTATCCACCAAGATCTCTGAGGCCTGCTGCTCTTTAAAATTTGTTTTACGAAACTTCTGCACCTCAATTAGCTCTCAAGTATCCTTGAATGGGTAAAATTCCATATGCAATAGAAGATATGAAGTCTTTACCAGGGAAACCTACGTATACTTCTTCAGATCATTATTTTGTATCTCACAACATATGTATACTAACATAACCAGTTGTAGGTTTGTATCTCACATATAAACCCCTATTTGTAAACTGCTCTGTATGTATTTTTTTTTAGTTATTTATTGGTCCTGTAGGTTTTTCTGGGGTTTTTCATTGGACTTGTCGGTAGTATAACCTGATGAAAAAGCAGGGGCTTGAGAAATAAATATTTAAATGAAGTTTGTCGGATAAAAACGCTTCTAGATCGCAAAGCAAATGATGAAGACAGCTTTATTCAAGCAATGGTTTGGAAGATAAAAATGAAATTTGACAAGTATTGGGGTGAGTGTAACCTGATGATGTCCACAGCAGCTATCTTGGATCCTAGGCTCAAGATGCGAGTTATCAACTACTACTTTCCACTGATATATCCTCCACATGAAGTGCAAGCGAATATAAATAAAGTCCGGCAAGCTTTGTATGATTTATATGCCGAGTATGTGGAAATGCATGTTTCAAGTTCAAGAGATTCTGGAGCAAGCTCTCAAGTATGGCAAATGAACCAGGTAGCAAGAGTAGCAATAGTTCATCCTCTACAATGACACATGTTACTGGAATGTGTGAATTTCTATCTCACATTGCTACTGTGGAACCCGTTCAACCGGAGAAAAATGAGCTAGATATCTACTTTGAAGATGGCCTTCTCAGTGCTACGGAGAAGTCAAGCCTGGATATTGTCAACTTAGATGCTTTGAAATGGTGGAAAAGCACAATAAAATACAAGATTTTGCCTAAGATGGTTGCGGATATTTTAGCCATTCCTGTTAGCACCGTAGCTTCGGAAGCAATATTTAGTGCTGGAACTAGAGTGCTTGACTCCTACCGTGCTTCTTTAGCTCCAAAAACTGTAGAGATGTTGATGTGTGCTGGGGATTGGTGTCGTAGGCTACACGGGGTGAAGAAAAGGGATAAGGTAATTATGTTACAAATTACGTTTTTCATCTATTACAATATGTTTTATAGTTGGCTTAATCTTGATCTTTTTTTTTTTTTTTTACTTTGCAGAAAATGAAGTCAGCACAAGAGATTTCATTGCCTATTTCTTGAACTTTTTCATGTTTTAGGTAATCTATATTCTCAGTTTTTTGGCTGCTGGTTTCTTTATATGTGTATATGATTTATTTGGTGGCTGGTTTCATTGCAACTAAAATGGAAGTTATTTGCCTGATTTTCTTGGCTGTGCAGCAGCTGCAGCTTATTGGTGCATTATTGGCTGTAGGTGCGTTTTTCCACCTACATTTTCAGTACCAAGATTGTAAGCTTCCAATTTGTGCTGCTTGTCAAATTTTCTTTTGAGTTCTATACGTGTCTGGCTTAGTTGAGTATTTGCAGAGGCATGCAATTAGAAGTAAAAGAAATTTTCTCAGCAAACAGGCGTGTTTTGGCTAAGTTATTGCTGAATGTGCATTTGGTTATCAGATACTGTGGATTGGTCAAGTTATTGCTGTTTATATCCTTGTTAGGATAGAAATGGTGTTAGCATTGAGTGTGCATGGTGCTCGTTTGGATTCCTAGTCTGATCTAATTCATGTCGCAGATGGTCAATTTTTTTCAATGGAGATTTGCTTAAACAAAATGAATTTTTTTGAGAATTGCGCTTGTTAGTCTTGGTGGGCTGTCCAAATTTTAACTGTGGCTTCTACAAAATTAGGATGATCAATATAAGCTGCTGATATGACTAACTAGTTTGCACTCGAATGTGAATGAATTTCTCCTCTAAATTATAAGACAGTTGTCCAGTTGCTGTGGATTGTTTACAATTTTGATGCTCAGGTTTTCCTCCCCTCTCTGAGTAAAATACTTGCTTTAAGCTGTCTAGTTAACTTACAGAGTAGATTTTCCTCATTCAACTAGGTACTAGATTCAGTCCCCTTGATTAGTTTAGTTATATGTTCAGTGAGTACAGGTCTGAAAGAGCAGCCAATGAATGCTAGTGATGTTTTTGTATAGCTCCTTGATTGGCACTTATTTATTTTTGGATGTATTGAGCAGGTTGGAGCTGGGACTATGAATCCTCTGACATTTCTAAGAAGAGAAGAAGTTCGTGACTTCAATGACTTCAATGACTGTGCTTAGTTTGTAATTTGTAATTCAATAAGTTTCTGTAGTAAGAAGTTCTTGGCCTGCTTTTGGTTCTTATTTACTTATTTTTTGATATTAAATTTTGTGACCGAGAATGTTGAACTTGTATGAAGTGTTGGGCATTTAAATTCTAGAAATATGTGGCATGTATTTCTAAATTTATGATTGTATTTAGTGAAAATTTTGTAGGCCTTTTTGATTATGATAATGTGAAAAATTATGGTCAATTATAGGCATGAATTGTAAGCTATGATTATGCTCATAATTTGGTTAGGAATTAGTTGATAAAATGATTTTTTTTGTTACATTAACTCCCAAAATTCGAGCTAACAAGCCGTTATCGAGTCAAAAATTCGAGCTCACAAATCGAGCTGCTCGCGAGCCAGAAATCGAGCATCAACTCGCGAGCCTTAACGAGTTAAGCTCGAGCTTAGCTTTTTTTAGTCAAGTTGAGCTCGAGCTCAATTTTTATAGGTTCGTCGAGCTCGAGCTCGAACTAGAGCTCGAGCTCGAACTAGAGCTCGAGCTCGAACTAGAGCTCGAGCTCGAACTAGAGCTCGAGCTCGAACTAGAGCTCACCCATTTTTAAGTCGAGCTCAACTCGATAAGTCCAAAACTCGACTCGACTCGACTCGTTTGCAGTCCTAGTCAAGTGTCGAGGTCCATAACCATGCTCGAGGTAAGAGTGGAGATAAGCTTATTAATCGGGACGATCCTTCACCTCGGATAGGTAAAGACGAGGTCCTTGAAGAGAATAAAGAGCCGAGGTGGTACCCACATGTACCTTCAGCTAATTTGACCAGAAATAGACGGAGTAAAGAAATTTTCACTATCGATTCACTCCCGGGCAGGAGAATGGATCTTTTAATATGGTTGTATTGAAAAGTATACATCGAATTCAAAATACAAGTCTAGTCCTAGTAAATGAAACATCCATCTGATTCTTTTCTATTGGAGTTATCCTCCGCCTTGATTTGTCAATCAGCACAAGTTTGAAAAAAAAACAATACAAGAAGTACACTTTGCAATAAAATATGTACACTTTGGACAATAGTTATTGACTTTTCAAAACGAAGAAAAGTTTAAACCGTTCAAAAGTTGATCAATAGGGTGAGTATATTTTACCCTTTTTTTTTTGGGTATGGCTTTGTAATTATGATTGATATAGTACGTATTAGACAACAGATCTCTTACCAAGTTCATCATAATTGCAAAGGAAAGACAGACACAATTTTTTGGTTTTTTTTTTTTTTCGAGAAGCGGGGCTCTGTTGCGGGTAGAAAAGTAACTCCATTTTCAGTCTTAAACACTTGAGCACATCTACTACTAGTTTTCTCAGAACGAAGACTATATGATTTATTGTTGTGCAGCAAATCGAATTAATAACTCGCTGTATTAGTTAGTGAATTTTTTCTGTAAAATGATTTTTTTTAGAAAAAAATTCTTTTTAATATAGTAACTTCTTGACCAAAGAGTAGATAACCTACAATGCACCCCAGAAAGAGTTAACATAATAATACTACATGATGGTAAGAGTTGTTGAAGTTTATGTGGACGCAGTCGGATATTGAATCAAAATTGTGTACAGATTTCCAAATTATCCTAAAGTGTCGTACCACTACAACTGTCCAAAATTACGGGGTATTGCTGTAGCATTTCGGTTTTCTTGGGCTGCCAGAATTGTCTAATATACATGGGAAAATTGCAGCACTGGCACTCACCTCCCTTGTGGTTTAAGAAATTGCACTGACCTCCTTTAAATTTACTGATTCTTTGCATATTCAGTCCAAGCGATTAAAATATTGTTTGAGGAAGTGAAATGAGAAATTTGTACCATATTTGCCCTTTGTGCAACATGCCAAGTATTATTAACAAAGAAATGACAAAGTACTACAAATCAATTAACAATTAATAAACTTTAAAAAGTGTAGTTTATGGGTAAATAGGCATTACCTATTCAAAGTATTAGGTCTTTATGAGTATTGTACTTTCAAACATTTAATTTATGATAAATACATCAATGTTTATACGTAATTCAACAAATTTTACAGTAATATTCTTATAAAAAAAGAAACTGGTAGATTATATATTTAATATAAATTAAATATTTTTAAAAAAAAGAAATGATCCATAAAGTATAAATTCTTTATGACTTTCCTCCATTACATGAACAGAGTAAGTGTTGCACTAATATTTTTACGAAAGGGAAACTGGTAGGTTTTGTATTTAACAAAAATTAAATATGTGAAAGTAAATACAAATTTATTAATAGGTAATGCCTATTTACCCATAAACTACACCGTTTAAAGTTTATTAATTGTTAATTAATTTATAGTATTTTGTCATTCCTTTACTAATACTACTTGGCATGTAGCACAAAGGGCAAATCTATCACAAATTTTTCATTTCACTCCCTAAAATAATATTTTAATCGCCTGGACTGAATATGCAAAAAATCAGCAAGTTCAGGGGAGGTTCGTGCAATTTCTTAAACCACAGGAGAGGTGAATACAGGTGTCAGAAACCTTAGGGGAGGTTTCTGCAATTTTCCCAATATATATTGTCATGTTTCCCTCGAGTGTATAACAAGGACGCGATGCTGGGGGAAATCGTGCAATTTCGGTCGCGCCAAATTCAACATTTTCGAACAACTTCCACATAAAATGATAGTACTACAACTACTACTTGACAAGTTTTGGAAAGGACACAAACCCCAAGCTCACATCGGATAACAACAATTACTACTAATGAGTAGTACAAGTATCATCTACTTACTTAAATTATTGTCCAATCTTCGTGGAAATCTATAGAAGTACCTGTCAGACACACAACTGTCGGTGATGGTAGCTTGATCAAATACTAATTATCAATTGCTAGACGGTTAATCAGTTGGCCATCTCAACAGGATACCTATCGACGCAATCTTGCCATGGACTATTTGGAGATGGCTTCACATTTCTGAGAGCCTGCCAAACTGCACTGTTGCACTTGAATCCACTCCCAAAGGCAATCTGCCAAACTCGATGCCCTTTTTTCATCCTCCCCTTAGCTTCAGTGTATGCCAATTCGTACCAAATCGAGCTAGAAGAAGTGTTCCCAAATCGATGCAGAGTCATCCTAGAGGCCTCCACGTGAATTGGTGAAAGTTGCAAATTCTTCTCGAGCTCATCAATCACACCCCTCCCACCAGCGTGAATGCAGAAATGGTCAAAGGCAAGCTTGAAATCTGGGATATACGGCTTGATCTTGGCGTCATTGCAGAGCTTCCGGGCCACAAGGGTCACAAAGAAGAGCAATTGTTCGCTGATGGGCAGCACCAGAGGCCCCAGCGTCGTGATATTGGTCTTGAGGGCACCCCCCGCAATAGCCATCAAATCTTTGGATAAGGACACCCCGGTTTTCCCATGGTCGTCTTGTTCCTGATAAACACACCTGAAGGCCGTGTCTTGGGCCCCTTTGTGAGTCCTCACCACATGGACAAGCTTGTACTTGGCCCTTCTCTTCTCAGATGCCTTATTTGACAATAGCGTGGCTGCACACCCCACACGGAACAAGCAATTTGGGATCAGCATTGATTTCTTGTTACCAAAATACCAGTTCTGGGTGATGTTCTCGGTGCTGACAACTACTGCGCATGTGTTCCGGTGAACCTGGAGCATGTCCTTAGCGAGATCAATTGCGATAACTCCAGCACTACAGCCCATGCCCCCCAAATTGAAGCTCTGAATATTGCCTCTTAATCCGTACTTGTTGACGATCATGGCAGAGAGGGAAGGCGTGGGATTGAACAAACTGCAATTCACGACAAGAATACCGATGTCCTTAGGCTTGACGTTGGTGGATTTGAAGAGATTGTCAAGCGCGCCGAACATGACTTGCTCAGCTTCTTCACGTGCGGTGGACATGGACGGTCGGGGTGGGACGCAGTGCATTGCCTCGGGCAAGTACGTCTCCACGCCAAGACCAGACCTTTCCAAGATCTTGCGCTGAAACTCCAAAGAAGACTCGTCGAAATCTCCAGTGAGCCTGGAGTGGTCCATGAATTTGTTGAAGTTGACTTGGAGATGGTCAGGAGGACGATAACAGGCATAGTCGACGAGGTAAACGGATCTAGGCCGGGTCATGATGTAAACAGTGGATCCGAAGACCATGATGGCAGAGACGAGGAGGACGGTGATGAGATTGAGTTGGAGTTGGAGATAGAGAGTCTGGAAGTCTTGATAGTTCATCTGGGAGGCTTGGAGGAGTGTGATGGCAATGAGGGGGAGCAGGCACAGCGTCAAAAAGTGAGACATGAGATGGTGGTATCCCAGTTTAACGTACTTTAGGTTGACGCTCTGGACAAAATCTGGAAGCCCTTTTCGAGCTCTTTTAATCCTAACAACCGGATCGGCACCGGAACAGCAAAGGCTTCCGTCAGCCGCCTCGTTGTGATTGCTCATACTACTGCAGGACAGTAATGGCTTTTGGTTCTGGGTTTTGTGTTTTGATTTTGGGGTTGTAATGTAATGTAACTAATGTTATGTTGTGGGATTGTTGCACTTTCAAATAATCAAATATGTGGTGGGTGGGTTTGTGGGGGGGATGAGGCCGAGGGTGAATAATAAAGGAGGGGGGGGGGGGAGGATGGGCTGCTGTCGACTAGGTATTATATGTACTGTGCGTGTGCTATGTGATCTATGAAGTAGAGGAGTGTGTGTTGCGGGTGTGCTAGCTGTGACTAAGTAGGTACAGAGGGGAGGACGGATCTGGAAAGAAGGAAAGGGGTGTTGGCCGTCTGGAAAAGGTAGATACAACAACTGCACAACAGCCAGAGTCAGTCAATAACAAGGCATTGGATGAGAAGTGTACAATCTTGAGGACTACTCTACTCTACTCTAGTTTTTTTTGGAATCAGCAAAATGGTAACCATCTAGTAGTAGCAGACACCGAGCGAGCATTGATGAAGAAGGTTAGAAATAGCGGAAATGGAGGGAGGAGGCGTCTACTAATGTCATCATTAGAAGGTTAGACACCGAGATTTTTACGCTACATGGTCAACAATAGTTTGACGGAGTAGGAAATGTCATCATTAATTCCTTGTTTTCTTCAATTTTCCATTCGTTCAATATTAATATTGTATTCGACCATCCCCCTTACCATACAAACAAAAATACTTTAATTGTCCTTGATTGTTGACTTGATATTAAAATTCTCCTTCTTTTCGTCAACTGTTGACTCCATGACTTGTGCCACTCGATGATTGTTTTGTGCAATTATCTCGGTTTGCCAAAATCTTCTCCAATCCAATTCTGTGTCGTATGAGAGTATGATGATGGATGGTTATTTCAACCCTTTCCCCCCTCCACCCCAACCCCCCAAAAAAAAAAGGAGTATGATAATGGTGTGAGTAAAAAGTTCACTTCCCTCTCCAATTGAAAGTGTGATCTTTTCTACTTACTTTTGAGGTTTGAATTTGTTCTCTTTTTTTTTTTTTTTTGGTCCCTGAAAAGTGAATGTGTTTGTTTGATAATAACACTCCAAAAAGTACTCCTCGTTATTTGATTACTCCTCGTTAATTTGCTTTAAAGGTAATTTTTTGGTAAAGTCGAAAATTGGAGCTTTTGGTTTGGCAAGCATTTCCCGAATACAAACCTGTGGAGAACTGTTTAGGTTCGAAATAGTTCTTTTTTCTTTTTTTTTTGTGTCGTTTCACTACAATACAAATATATACTCCTATACATACATTTTTTTTTTTTTTCACAGCAAGATGAAAAAGGATTTTTGTGTTTGGAATTCTGCCATGACGTCAAAAATCAAATTTCCAAAAATAACTTTTAACTTTCTCACCTAGTCCGAGTGAAGGCAATGGGCTGCGGCCCAACGGTAGACCATTACCGACCGCCAAGCCCAATTGTAGGTCCAATGAAGGGATTCCAAACTTGTTTTCCAAGCCGGGACATACTACTCTACGCCCGGGGCGTTAATCAATTTAAGCCAACACCCAATCAGACAAAATGTCGGCTTTTTTCTGCCCACTGAATTTTCAACACGTGGAGATTAGATCAGCCCCACCTCTATTCTCTTGTATATAATTTTATTTATTTATTCCACAGAGCATTCTCGCACGATTTTTAATATTTGCCGGCGTTTTTTTTTTTTTTTTATCGATTTCGAAGTTAGTTAGAACTTAGAAGGCAAGCTCACCCAATTGCTTCAGTTTGATCTGAAAGGTACTCGTTTTCTATCCCTTAATGCGAATAATTTCATTTGCTTTCCTTAATTTTTTGGTGCTCCTCCTTTTAGGTTCGCAAATCTTCCATGCATAATCCTTTACTATGTTTTATCGCAATCTGTCAGCGATTCCCCTAACAAACTAATTCAAGTTGAAGTGGAAGAGTAATAGGAAAAAATTGAAGTCTCGCAAAGAAATCTGAGTCTATTGATATTGTTTGCATTCTCTGTAAGCCTCTGCGGAATTTTGTCAAATAGTTGATATGCGTGTTGTTCCTTAATACTTGCTATTGCTTTTTTGTGGCTTGTTAACTTGTAGCTGGGCTCGAAGGCACGGTTAGATGAGAATGATTTTTTGAATTATCTTGTCTATAATTTTATCCTCTCGGGCTTCTTCTTCCCGATGTCCATCATGAGGGATTCGTTTCTTTAAGTTGCCTAGAATTTAAAAGTCCGACAAAATTTCGTTGTTCGTAATCTGCGAACAACTTTTTAGTTGGGTTGTCTGACTTGTCCGATGCTTCCCAAGATGAGGCGCATGTGGTTACTATTCTTTTTCTAGCTTCTATTGAAAAAATTACATGATGCTTTCCATTTCTTTGCATTCCCACTTCTAAAAGGTTTAGGAGCTTATGAGAGCGGGAACAGGGACAGTGTTGATTGGTCAGGGAAGCACCTTGATCGTTGTATGGCTTTACATACTTGGATTTGGTCGACTGAGAATGTTATCAGTTCACAAATTTGTGAATTTATAGTGGCCCTGTTATAGTATGGTTTTCTCTAATTTGATTATTGACGTTCGATCCTGTGAAATATTAAATACCATGTAGCCTGTTGGTTTTGCGGCAGTGCATTATTAAATGCTCTGTAGTTTGTTGGTTTCACCTGACGATATGCTGATTCTTATTCAAATGTTTGATATTTAGTTATGTGTGGTTTGGAACTAGTACAACTAGATAAGGTTGACTAGGTAGTGGGAATTGTGTAACAATATAGTCTTGCCTAATGCATTTTAAGAGCTTATCCGATCTTAGAGTTGGGCTAGGTTATTTTCTTTTGCTTAGATTTGAGTTTATGTGATCAGCTGCAGAAGGTCTGTGAATCTTGAAATCAATTTGCTTGCTATTTGGAAACAGTTCCACTTTCTTGTTTCCTATTTCCTTTCTATTGTACTTGAAGTGGGAACTCCTTGGGTATCTGGTCTTTCAGAATGTTGTTGATAAACATAACAAGTACATGCTAAGCTCTTCCTAGGTAAACGACTATTTGCTCCTTGTTGAGTTAATGCTATTCTGGATTGACACTTGTACTTGTAAGAAAAATGAATTAACCATGTTTACTTTGTCAGTGAACACCTTAGGGTTAACATTTTTTTTTTTTTGTGGCATGGTCATAGTTCTTTAGGGAAAAGCTTCACACCAGGTACCATGGCAGCTGAAAGTAGCCAAAATGAAAAGCTGCCATCCTCCAAAGCTCCAACTCAAGCCATGACTTCTTGCAGAAAGAAGAAGAATGAAGATGCAACCTTTTTGGAAGGTTTGAAGGATCACATAGATGAGTTCATGCATGCTTCAATGGATGAGCACAAAACTTGCTTTCAGAAGACAATAAAAAAGGTTTTAGTCCACTTCCTTATACCAAATCCTATGAGGAACTTCTTGAACCGCGAATTATGAATATTCTTTGTCTAATTACTAGTATTGTTGATATTAATTTTGACCTCGTGCAGATGTTTGGCATGTCAAAAGTTGTTGCAGAGCGAAACGCAGAGACTGCTAATGTTGAAAGCTCACTGCCCCTTCGAACATCATTGTCCGAGTAAAATGTCCCGCAAGTTTTTCTATTAACAGCCTGATGTCAAATAAAAGAGGAAGACTTTACAGTTGGGCGCACATCCCACTCTGTGGATGTGTGTTTTCTGTCTGAAATGGGAGAATCGTCCATCTTCCCCATTTTGAGTTAGTTTGTCATTTATATCACTGAGTTAACATGGTGCAGTTGATAGCGTTTGTTAAATTGCATATTAACCTGGACTGGGGCTGGTCATGAGATGAAATTTGGTTGGGTTTCTAGTGTCTTTTTTGCAAAAATACAGTTGATTTCAAGCCTTTGACTTTGCGTGTGCGGTGTTGTATGTTCATATATTGTGTAAATGGCTTCGAAATTAGTTACCAGGCAGTTTTGTAACCCGTGAAGTGTGCTTGATGATCTGTTGGATCATAAAGGACGAATACTTTTCCTTGGATGCAGTTAGCAAAATACTACATACGGAAAATTTTAATGCTGAGATGCGTCATACGGCCTGGAAAAATTAGAAAAATGTTGATTGCACTATGTTTTTTTTTTTTTTGAAATAATGGTACTCTCGCTAACTATCTTTTTCATCATATAGTAATCTAATAAATGAAAATTACATGATAAAAATTGATAATGAAAATGCTATTATAAAACAATGGAGTGCGACTAATCTATAACTTCTGAATTGTACTTAATGTTCCACCCAATGTTTGGATGGGCAACCATCGCCTCATAGAGGGTGATGAGACAGAAAATTGTAGGCATATGAACTGTGTAAATAGTTTTTAATTTTTTGTGGGGCGTTGATTTATTATTTTCTTTTTTGAAAATTATGTCTGAAAGATGAAAGGTAGTTGAAGGGATTTCCTAGAAAAATAAAGTCTATTTTTTTGTTATAAAAAAAAAATTCTGTATGATTTATTTATTTGTGTTTTGAAAATCATGTCTGAAAGAAAGATAGAAGGGAGGTGGAAAGTATTGAGTAGAAACACAACGCCTATTATGCAATACAATGCCCGGTTTTGGTGTCAGTTGTTCACCAGTTCGTAAGGGAAGGCAGTTGGATTAGAGATTGGAGCGCCAATGCCAACAATGTCTGCATGTGGGGGTTGTTGACGCCCCGAAAAGTGAAAAATAAAAAGATGGTGCCCGTAATAATACAGTACTAATTTTCAAGTACTCTTTTATCTAATATCCTAACTGCTGCTACCTCGAAGCGGTAGCTGAGATTGTCTGTCGACTTCAATCTCATGAGAACGCAGGCTGTCCTCAAGTTTAGTAACAAAAATTTCAACGTTCTGTTTGAAATTTATTGTGACGGAAATTCTGATAGTAGATCGACTAAGAAGGGAAAAAAGTAGAAGAAGAAGAAGTGTCATTTAGATTTGCCTAAAAAGCTGTTATATTGTATCAATGAATGAATTAATAAATAGTGTATTTCGGGTACTCAAACAAATATCCTTTGAAAAAAGGGAATACGTCCTAAAATTCTAACAACGGAAAATATTTTTTTTCTGTCAAAATTAGCAACAATAACTGTAAAATGTGACTAATTTCACAAGAATCAATTATTAAGTTGAAAAATCTTCAACGCGACTAGATCTTAAACTGAGTAAATTAATACTAAATCTTTTAGGTTTCTCTTTGAATAGACATATGAAGAAGTGATCGAGTACAAATAAAATAAGGACTCCGTCAATGCTGTCTGTCTTAGGGCTGTGCTCAAATTGTTGTTGAAAAGAGTTCCTTCGGACTTTACACAGGAGGGACGTATAATATTGGACCCCAAAACAGGTAGAAATCCCACGTACGCATAACTTTTGGTTTTTTTTTTTTTTTTTTTTTATGGACACCTTGATGATGATGATGATGATGATGATGAGGACGAGGACAGATTAAGATTTAAGTACTGAAACTCAAATGGTATAACGATCAGGCTGTGCTGCTGTATCATCCATTCTATGAACTACGTAGATTATGCAGCTACTTCATTTTCGCAGTTGCTTCTCATCATCAGCGGACCGTAACTGAAAATTTGCCCAGGTACTGTTTAAATCAAACTGTAGGAAACTAGAGTGGTGTGCTATATAGTAATTGATTTACTAGTAGTAATAAGTACGACTGGAATTGATTACTGAAAATAATGAAAGCGAAATGCTTCCACGTTTTACAAGACATTCTTATCAAAGGTAGAAAATACTGCAAGTACTCGTACTATAGTACGACTGGGATTACACAAATATTCTACTTGCTTTTCTTGATTATTTTTTTGAATAAAGACTCCATCCATGCATGTTTAGAACAGAGCTGAATGATAATGAACTCTTGCATCTTAATTTCTTCACGACTGGACGCCTTCTGTGCTTCACCAGAGCTCCAGGCTTTTCACCCTGCATGTCAATATATATATATGTGTAACTGGTCATTATTAGTTTTCTAAAGTTTGATAGTCAAAATTTACGATTACTAGCTACTAATGATTCTTGTTCCTAATTAATTTTCATTGCATGGTGAGGTGGTGAGTCCGTAAGCCTAGCTAGGGTGTATACTTCAATTTTTTTTTTTATTTTTTGAAAGAAAAAAGAAGACATTCTTATCAACTTCATGACTCATCCACACGCAAACTTCGTTCTAACTGTCTATCAAGTTCTTTTTGGTAGTGCGAAAAAAAAAAAAAAGGAAGAAGAAAACAAAAAATCAAGAGGGTTTCATGAAATAGTTAGTAGTTGCACGTAGAAAGGGCAAGGTACGTAGGGGCAACCCAAAAAAAAAAAAAAAAAAAAATACAGTAGCTTCTGGAACAGAAAGTAGTACCGTGAAGATAAATCACATCATCTATTGAGAAGTACTAGGTAATTTGTCGACTGTCCAAAAGTCGTCTTAGTACGCATTATTCTACTTTGGAAATCTATGTAAAATGATTCCCTGATCCCTCCCAAAAGGTCCCATCCAAGGGCTTGTGCGCCATGACAAAGATAAATCTCATATCTTCACTAACCCCTACAACTGCAAGCTAGTTCATATACGGCGGTTGACATAACAACGTACATGAGCCTGTCCATGGCTCGAGTCTGTTGGTGCTAGTTTAAAGCGCAGTATAGATTAATTAATTAATATGGCTGCAATTATGCCTGCTGATAATGCAGGAATTAGAAAGAATTTTAATGGGGTTCACTCAGTATGGATTATTTGAAAATTTTAATTAATGGTTGTTATGAGTAGCTGGTATAGGATGCAGCTTTTCTGATGATCAGTAGCAGTAGTAGCGGTGTTAGTTAGTTACCTGAAGCGGTGGTCCTGTAGTTGGGATACGGCACATGACCGCCCTCGATTTGCTTGATGTCTTCAACAAGGATTTCATAGTGCCTCTTCACCTCATCTGGGGTTTTCCCACCAACGGCCCTGGCCACCTTGGACCAGCGGTCAGGTGTGTCCTTATCGTACACGGCCAAAGCCTTTTCAAAGGCTTTGTTCTGTGTTACGGTCCAAGAACCTGACGATGAGCTGCTGCGGGAGGAAATTGAGCTTGATGCCATGCAAACAGGTAATTAAAGAAGGTTAGGAAATGGAGAGAGAATAATGAGCAAATGGATCTAGTACGTACTACTAGAAGTAGAAGGAAAAAAAAAAAGGGGCGAGAGCTGTAGCTTAGTAAATTAAACGGAGGGCAAGGGGTGATTTGCTTTGTGCAAGGAGGCTGGCAGGAGTGCGTGCGTTTTATAAGCTTCAGGAAGGGTGGGGTCGTGCCAGTTGGCCTATAGAACTTGCAAATAGCTGAAGAACTTTAGTGTGTTGTCCGCTTAGGAACCGCAGGAAAAACGAAACAATGAACCATAACAATAACAATGACAATAATATTTTGTGTTTCTAGAAGAATCAGTATCTCCGAGGTCCTCAACATATTCTTCCTTCCTAGCTATTCCACTTGACATCACAAATTCTGTTGCCTCTTCTTTTCTTTTTTTTTTTCTTTTTTTGTTGTTGTGGGTCTGTGTCATATCCTCCATAGATTTTCTTTCCTTCATCGGCACCATACCAACGGGAGGGCCAGGCTTTTGTTCCCAATCAATGTAGGATTAATGAAGCTACTACTGTTCCTATACATTCCTCTTCTACGTACACATGTACTGGGATATATATATGATGTATTTGATGCTCCATCTTGTTGAAAGCACAGTTGTACAATGCATGCTAGTACCGGATTTTTTTTGTAATAGCCAATTATTTTTATATATATATATATATATATATATATATATATATATATATATATATATATATGATGTCTTCACAGCAGCGCCTCGTATAATATGCAAAACGCAAATTAGAAGAAAAAAGAATATCTGAAGTGATTGTTATTAGTTACCCTAATAAGCATATATAGGCAGACTAATTCAAATCATCCTCGTTTGGTTTTGTCATTTGTGAACAAGCTTAAGATTAGTTTGCGGTAAACTTCACATTTCTAATTTAAACAGCTAATTACCAAATCCAAATTAGGTCATGTGGTTGGTTTATGCGGCCGGCACAGCCAATTGCCTTAGAAAGTAAAATCTTCCTAATTTGGCGGACCCAACCCGCTTGTAGTTTTGCCGTAAAACTCAAGCATATCCCTCCCTAAGAAAACCCATGTCAAACCCTACTCATTCCACCCCTCCTCAGTCCTCTCCTTCTTTCCAATTTGACAGGAAGGATTATAAGTTATAAGCAGGTATGTGTCAAAACTTATCCCCTGCCGTGTGGCAGGACCTATCAGCTAGTTTATGCCCCATCCTCTAACAAAAGGTCCGAATCCACTGCATTCTTTCTCACGAGCATTAGTTCCCTGTCTTAACAAAATCAAATCAAATCAAATCTTCACTCGCTTGAGAGTTTGAGTAGGGTAACTTTCTAGGAATTAGGATCTGTGGTGATTTTCATGGTAATGAATGTACATAGAAGGCATAGCACGAGAGACTTTGAGGGCTTGCCTGGCATCGGATCACAAAAAAATACGACTCAGGAATTAGGATGATCTTTCTGGATTGAGGAGCAATGCCATTAGAGATTATACTGTTGTCACTACTACTGTGTACATGCATGCGTACTGCTGTACTATGTCCTGAACAACATTCCAAATTCTATAGCTGTCCAGATGAGATGAAGCCCCCGTACAATGACTATTTAGTATTTACACTACTTTGTAGTCTAGTCTCTCTACTATCTGCTCCAAGAAAAGATCTACACGTTTCTTAGACACTCGTTTATGGATCCCGTTCTGAATCTTTATGCTATTTGCGGTCAAGAAAACTGCACTAGCGGATCAGGATTCTCTGCAATTGTCAAAACATTTCATAAATTTGTACCAAGCAGTAGTTGATTGTCCGAGTGGATTAATTTAACACCACCAATTTTAATCAAACACAAAATTTGTTGTATTTTTTCACGTTATTAATTATCATGATATTTATAGTTCTTTTCTCTATCTTAGTATCTAAATTTGTTGTGTTAGTGTATACATTGTGCGATGTAATTCATACTAATGAATGTGTGCATAAATCCCTCATCCTGCATTTTTGGAGGGGTGGTCAGTTATTTGCATTTTTGTCACCCCTTCCAACCATTACGAACATATTGGGAGCCGGCCGGTTAGCATTATGTACAAGGAGGAGGTGGAGTCAAGATGAGTATATCTTTGAAGCTATTATTATAGACTAGCAGCAACCTTAACTCGTAAATGGTACAATTCTCACATGCGAGAATCTTATTTTTGAGATACATGTCCTGTGACCTTATATCATGTTTCATGTCTTTTAGTTTATTTTTTGTTAAACATGGAGCCACAGCGAAAAATGCACTTACTTCGTATATATAGTCTGTCTATCTTTTACATTTACTTTTGTTCTTCCCTTAGCCCCATGAAGACATTCTATTCATAGAGTCTCTTTGGTTGCCGTAATGATTGTCCACTCCAAAGAAACAATAATACAAACCAACAAAAGTTCGGAAATAAAACAAATAACCACTTTTTTAAACCTGTCTGATCTTCGACCTCTACGACATAGCAGTCTAGACTAATGAAATTGCTAATTAATATTGATATAACCCCAAAAAAAAAAAAAAAAAAGCACCAATAAAGCACAGCTTGATGAGAAAGAACTAGCTAGGAAGTAACCTCCAAGGTGGATTGGGGTAATAGGAACATGAAATACTCCAAGGTGGATTGTATCGCCTTGCAATTTTGGTGGGTCTGAGTTTTGGCATGCTTCTGCATATTGCCGGTGGCACCTCCATTAGACGTACGACTCGCTGATTTTATCCTTCTGGACGAAGGCAAGCCAACAAAGGTTTCCATTTCGTTTTTTTTTAAAAAAAAAAAACGAAAAAAAAAAACAATTTTGGTGGGTCTGAGTTTTTGAAGGGTTTTTTTAAAATTAAAAAAAAAAAAAGAAGAAGTAGAAGAAGAAACAAAAAAAAATGACACCCAAGAGAAAAAGCGACACAAACACAATAAATAGGAATCTTGAATAAATAAAATAATACAATGAGTTTTTTTTTTCGAGCAACGATAACAATTGTATAACCTATTCTATTCTAATCTATTGGGGAAGGAAGTCGAAGGAAGCTTATATGTTAGGTGCCAGTAGGTATACAGATCTGACTACACAAAAAAAGTGCTATGACACTACACTTAAATTTTTTTTTCCTGCAGGTGGAATTTGGACCCACTAAACTTGGCCACCGAGCCAAGCTCAGTGGATATTATAGAACGAGTTTATAACGAGGGGAGCCAAGCCCAAGGTGGGACTTAACAGAACGAGCTTAGGATATTATATATTTGTTTTAATGGAAATTAAGAGGGAGCTTTTGCAGGGGCAACATGATTACTCTCATAATTGTAAGTTCGATTTGTTCACACTGAGCTCGGTACCAAAAAGCGAATAGATTCGAAATATTCTGCATTAAATCCCACTCTGTAGAAGGAAGTATCAACCACCGACATAAGTGACACAAGTGCTATCGTAGGATTCAGAATACAAGTTGCAGGATTTTTGTAAATCACTGGCATGTACGGGAAGTCCTGTTGACCTATCAATAATAATATCACTCAACTCTCTTCAGATTTTTAAAATCTCACTTATCTTTCTTGAATTGACATTTCTAGCGTAAACTATTTATTTTAGTTGTATTGGAATAAGAGCAAAATTTACACTTTGAAAATTTCACACGCATGAAGAGATTATTTTAGTTTTCAATAAAACTTTAACTATATCATGAATTAAAACATATTTCTCCAAAAAAATATCTTGACTTTCTTAATTGTAACTATGCACGAAATTTTTTTTAAGGTGTTTAATTGCTCTCTAAAATTCTCCTAAGTGGTTGATCTTGATTACACTTAATTTATTCACGTCATCTGCTATCCCACCATGACTCCAATGTAAAGAAATATGGACTATTATTAGCTAGCAATTTGTTTTTACATTTTTTGCTTTTAAAATTTTATTTTGTTTTGACTTTTTGATTAAATAGTTATTAAGAGCAAGGGTCATGTTGTTAATTTGTGACCTTTGATAGGAATATTTAGTCTTGTCAAATTGACAATGGAGGTAAATGAGATTTTAAAAATTTAAGAAAAAATGAGTGATATTATGAGAAAACTCATGGGAGAGTTTTGAAATTATCCCAACAAGAAATGATGTGGGAAATCCGTAGCAGTTGATTTGAGGGCAATGTGAGTGACGGGCAGCCCCCGTATCAGTAAAAAAAATAATAATGCCATATAGAATCTTTTGTCTCCTTCTCTTTTTGAGCTTAGGCCAAAACGGAGAGCATCCGTTTGGTCCAGTTGCCTCTGGTTTACCTTTCCCTCTCAGTCTTGATTCTGGGAATAAAATCTCCACAAGAGATCATGTTACTTTTCCCACTTACCAGACCTCCACAAGAGAGGAAAAAGCCCAGTCTCTCTCCTTTCTCTCTCTTTATTTTCATATTTTCATCAATCTCTCTTGCTTATTATGTCGTGTTTTGGAAATCTAACAACTAATTTTGGTAAAGCATGCATGGCCTGTTTACGCAAGTTCGTGGACTATGATTCCCAGGGACAGAGCATGGTGCAGAGATGTCAAATGGGCAGAATTTGGGCGGGATTTAAATGGAAATGAAAAAACATGGGGCTGTGTCCAAGTACTTTTATACAGGTCACGAGACTAATATGAGAGGACTAAAATGGGTCAAACCTATTTTGATATTGACTAAAATTACTAGGCATGTCATCATACAAAGGAAAACACATTTGTACAATAATTACTCTACAGTCAATATTAACGTAACAATCCAATCTCATATACTCCCTCTGTCCCATTTTGATACTCCTAATTTTTTTCATACAGTTTAAGAAAAAGTAATTAATTTTGTTGGAAAAATAAATTTAGATTGTTATTTTCCTAAAATACCCTTACATTAAATAAAGTTGACTTTTCATATATCAAATATGTTTTGGAAAATCCAAATGCATTAAATAGGGTAGGCTATATTCAATACTAACAATCTATATTAAATTAGGTAGTTTATAGTAATAACAACTTACATTAAATAAGAGTATTTTAGAAAAATTAAAAAACAACTACATTCTTCAATTATAAAATGGACTACAATTTGAGACAGACGAAAAAGGAAAACAGGACTATCAAAGTGGGACGGAGGGAGTA